TTTAGCAATTGAATTGTTAGTAGATTTTATTGTTATCGAGATATACAATAAGGTTTAAACACTATAATAAACATTATAAGGTTTCGATAGAGAATAGAGATATACCTCTATGAGTTATATGATTTCAATAAGTGTTATAACACTTGTTAATGCATTTATCATGTTTGCATCTTTCATCGAAATATAGAAGGGTCACATGAGGGGAATATATGTGATTGCTATCGAGAGAGGTTTCAATTTAATTAGGAATATTGACAAACATGAATGATTTCAAATATAATTTCGATCACGTTGTGAAACTGAAGGGGATCTTATCCCTTATGAGGCAGTTGAGAAATGGGTAATTTAGATGGTAACATAAAGATGTTGGTGATGGTAATAGTGGGGAGGGGTTTGGGCTTGTCAATGGATTGAATTTTGATTATAATTCGATGAATTAATGGAAGATGAATTTAGGGTTTCTGTTCGATAATCAGAAACTGATAATCTGTTAACTAAATGAATCAAATATGAATATAAGACAATCTGATCTGATAACAACCCAATCCGATTTGTTAAGAATAGTTGAGTCAGATAAATATTTTTATAATATGTTATTTGTTACTAAAATAAATAAATGAGAAAATAAACAAATTTAGAATAAACAAATAAAAAAGTCAATTCACGTGTACACAATGTTTTAAAAATCGTAATGCGTAGCGAGACATAGAAGTTTCGCACTAAGTGAGCCTAGACGAATCCTAGGCATAAAAAAAGTTAAAAAGTATTTTACTATTTTACTATTATTTTTAATTTTTAATCAATCTAAAAATTATTTAATAATACATACAAATTGTTGTACCAAATACAGTTTTAAGGGCTTAACAAAATAAATACATTCGACAAGCATGATATAGTATAATAGAGTTAATTGAAATATTTGAAGAGTTTTAATTTTTTATTAATTATTAAAAGATAGAAAAAAACGATTAATTTAATAAAATATAAATAACTATTCATATAATAGTACAATACAATCAAATTAAATGTACAATACACTACAATCAAACCAAATGTACAATGTACTACAGTCAAACCAAATGAATTCTTATCACACATCGAAAGTTTATAACAAAATGTTTGGAGATATCATCCACAAATGAGTCAATAAAAGGGTAAGCGACTTTTTATACCTTTCAATCTAATTGACTAAAAGTTTTTTTTTAAAAAATGATAAATTTATCATTATTAAACCCATTTAAGAATTGGAAAAGTGGGAAAAAAAAGTTAATTTCAACTTTGATTTCATATTCCTAATTTCTTTAATTTTAGATCGGATATTCGATAACACGACAAATCTGATATGGATTTAACAATCAAATATTTATTGGATTATCGGATCGGATATGAGCAGATCCGATCCATTTACAGCCGTAGTGGGGCTAGGTATTGTTAGGTGATGATGGCCGAGGAGGTAGCGACTCTGGTGGTTTGGATGGGTTAGGTAGAAAGATTAAGCATTTTCTTTTCTTTTCTTTTTCATTTAAAAATTCTTTTCTTATTTTTTTATTTCTCTTTTTCAATCATTTTAATTGTGATTATATGCAAAGGAAAAAAAAAATTGCCCTACTTTAAGTTGGTCAAATTTTGGTCGAGTGACTTATGGGTCAACTAACGATTTTCTGGATAAAATCATTCAAGGAACCTTATTCTGCATATTAATTTGTAAGTTTGAAACTTCGACCGCAAAATTGACATGTTTGGGACCACATTGTAGTTTGGGACCTCTGGTACAAGTTAACCTAATAATGAAAGGCGGAGGGGTACACTTGCTTGTGCTTTGCCTATCTAATATTGAAGTCTAATATACATGCTGTAAGGAAAAAATCAATAATCGCAAAATATAAATATATATCTGTTGTAAATGGTAAGTTTATTAGTAAATGACAATTGTACCCCTCCAGTCCTAAAAATTATTACCATTATATCTCTAATCCTTCTTCACAAATATGGAGTTTTTATAACAATACCCTTCTAGCTAATTAATCAATTTTCCATTGTAAATGATGATCTTTTGTTTAATTTACTTAATTCATTATTTTATGTAGGAGTTACAGTTAAATATGATGATAAAAGAAAATGAAATCTCCACGCAAATGGGAGAACGTACTAATAATATTATACGTTTTTTTAGTATCTATTTGAAACATAAATAAAATATTCTCACGGCTCGTTTAATATTATGTGCCATAAATATTTTTGTATAGCTTCATAAAAGATGAATAAAAAATATATTTTGAAGGTCTTTATTTTATGCATAAAGACTAAGATAATTCATTATAAAAATAATTAGGAACATTACATAACTCTATATCTTGAATGTTACATGAATTGGTGATTGACGTCAGAATCGTACATAAGAAAAGAAATAAAAACCTTGGCTAGAGTTTGTTCATTCGAAAGTTAGACTATCAAATTTAATTAAAGATCTAGTCTGTAGACACTACCTTAATAATCTTGTTTTGTTGAATCCTAGAAGCAAAGATCACAATGTTATATAATCCTCGACGAAATGCTTATGATCAAAAAATTATCCATAGTCGATTTTCTTTCTTTGCCTTCGTTGACGGCATCCACTACGAAGACATTCATAAACTGATGTAATCGAACACTATTAAGAAACCAATTTAATAGATACCGAATGCGTGCAAGGTTTCCATAAAGTTAAGAAATAGTAATCTTTTTTAAAAAATAGAAGCAAGTTAAAAAGATCGAGAAATATGACCATAAAGAGAGAACTCCGGAATGAGATATCAACTCAATGATCTCCATTCTAATTAGAAGAACTACTTCGTGTGAGACTAATACTTTTTAGCAATCTTCTAGTTCTTAGTCTCCAAAGATTGATTATAAGTATATTTTATACACTTATTTGAGATCTAAAATATCGATATTTGGTAGTTCTCTTGACAAAATATATCATAAATTGTTGTATTTTATATTATATAACTAAAACTCAATTGTTGAACGCGAAATTGAAAGAAACAAAAGAAAAATCAATGAAAAGTGTGAAATCAAAAGTATGGGGACCAACTTGCAACAATCTGATAGTTACTCGAAACACAAAACGAAGATCAAATATGCAAAAGGTTCAATTGGATGCAATTGGAAGCCAAATGATTGAAATATAGCCTAAGCATTCTCACAAATCAATTTCTAGCCGAAAGAGTTATGTTATGGATTTTTAGCCTCGACTTGGAGAATGCTATTTCAAGAAGAATAGTAGCCATTTGAGTTATCTATCAAATACACTTTGAATCACCTCAATCGAATATCAGAAGAGAAAATTATGATCAAAATATCCAAAGTTTTTTAGGGACGAATGGATGTAAACAAGCACGCGCCCCATTCAACCTATTTTTCACCAACTCAAAAGCAATTCATCTTGCATGCACGTACAGGGAGAAGAAGGCAATGCGCACGCGTGGGTTATTTCCGCAAAGGTCTCGACAGTTTCTTTTTTCGATTCAAACTCAACTTGACAAGGATTTTAACAAGATTTTTGACTTAAACTCGACCCCTATATATAGTTGGACACCATTCATACACCATTATACATCAAAAATTCATTCATATTTCATCAAAAAAAGGGGGCTAAATCATAAATTCTGAAAAGATTTCAAAGGCGAAGTTGAACTCGTCAATTGGAGATTAAACCTGTGATTTGTAGGCAAAGAAGCGTAAGAATTAATGAAAATTTATCAAGATTACTTTGAAAAAATTCAAAAACATCAAGATCCATCCTCCTTCATTCATTAATTCACAATTCCGGGTGATGTTATATACATTTTACATGATTTCTTATAATTCCAATACGTTAAGCTAGATTTATACATTCCTATGATGAGATGAGCCATTGTTATGATATTTTTAGTTTTTAATTAAGTATTTTGTCTTTAATTTGATTTAATTTGTGAATGTTTATTCTCGTTTTTATCGTTCTTTTCAATTGTTGGTTTAGCAATTAAATTGTTAGTAGATTTTATTGTTATCGAGATATACAATAAGATTTAAACACAATATTATAAACATTATAAGGTTTCGACAGAGAATAGAGATATACCTCTATGAGTTATATGATTTCAATAAGTGTTCTAGCACTTGTTAATGCATTTATCATATTTGTATCTTTTATCGAGATATAAAAGGGTCACATGAGGGGAATATATTTGATCGCTATCGAGAGAGGCTTTCAATTTATTTAGGAATATTGACAAACATGAATGATTTCAAATTGTCACTTTAATTGTTATACTAAAATGAAATAATTAGGAGGATTCGACATTTTAGCATTGCATCTCACATATTTGAAAAATACATTCACTTGCCTTCACTGGTTTAATTGATAATTTAGGAATTAGTATAGAAAAATTACAACTTATTTGCTATTCGATTAATATTGCAATTGATTTTAACTCGATCAAACACATGTATAGTTCTCGTGGGTCAACAATTTATTCATCATTATATTACTTAACCATGATTCCGTGCACCTACGATTTTTCAAATGACCAATTCACATATTAATTAGATAAAAAAAAAAAATCACGAATGAACAATCAAGATCTTTGTATCAGAGGCACATGGGCATTAGGTGTACAGTTAGACTCATGTCATCATCCACATACATACTGACCATTTCTTAGCTTGACTGTGTCTTTTTTTTTTTGACCAATTTTTCTTATTCTCACTCTCAAAATCATTCCAATATCTATATAAACAGTAAGTTTCAACAATCACATTCATCTTCAAAATTTCCCTTCAAAGTTTGTTTAAAATAATGGCGATTTACTTAGCAGTCTGCATGATTTGGCTGAAACTTTCTATAGCATTTGCAAGCATCCTTAGGAATGAGTCATGCATCGATGGTGCAACTATTGTATTAAGCTTTGGTTTATACCAAAACAGTTGTCCAGAGGCAGAACCTATCATCTTCTCTTGGGTTGAAAAAGCGGTTTCTGATGACCCAAGAATGGCTGCTTCTTTGCTGCGACTCCATTTTCACGATTGATGCTTCAGTGTTACTGGATGACACACCAAATTTTGTTGGAGAAAAAACTGCAGCGCCAAACTTGAACTCACTGCGGGGATTTGAAGTGATTGATGCAATAAAAGCTGATCTTGAATATGTTTGTCCTCAGATTGTGTCTTGTGCTGATATTCTTGCTGTTGCTGCCAGAGATTCTGTGGTTTTGGTACATATTCTCGCATTTATTGTGTTGCATGCTATAAATATAAGGTTAAACTAGTATGTGCGCAACTCCTCTTAAGACCGAAAGTCGCTCAGGTTTAAACAGATCGACACATTTCACCACCCCGCCCACCCCAATGCTGCACATTACACCGAATGGTCTAAATAAAATTAGTGTGTCCTGACAGTTTCAGCCGGATTTGATTTCTTAAACTTCGTTTGAAATTGGGCTTCAATTTTCAGTCCGGTGGTCTTGGATGGGAGGTACAATTGGGCCGGAAAGATAGTTCCAGTGCTAGCAAAGCAGCAGCCAACAACAATATCCCAGGCCCAAATTCTGATGTGCCCACACTAGTATCCAAGTTCCAAAATGTTGGGCTCACACTCGAAGATATGGTTGCACTATCTGGTAATTCACCTCATTTCTTGATTTTTCACGTTTTAATTACAAGTTCAAACTACAATACGTACAGTTAGCAAGTAAATATCACTTCTCTTTGCATGAACAGGTGCGCACACAATGGGAAGAGCTCGATGCTCGACGTTTAGCTCTCGAATAAATGGCAACAACAACGAGAACTCACCAGACATTAATTTGGAGTTCTTACAGTCCCTCCAGCAACTATGCTCAGAGTCTAATTCCAACACAACACTTGCAGATCTTGATCATATGACTCCATCAATGTTTGATAATCAGTACTACATCAACATTCTTTCGGGTGAGGGTTTACTTGCATCCGACCAGGTGCTAGCCACAGGCGATGACAGGACACGTGAAATCATCCAGACTTATGTGGACGATCCATCTACATTCTATGAGGATTTCAAAAATTCAATGCTGAAAATGGGGAGCTTGGTATCTGTATCTAGTGGTGGAGAAATTCGTAGAAACTGTAGGGTTATCAATTAATCTGATTCTAGCAAAAGAAGACTGGCATGTTCACTAGACATGCCTACTAAGTTCTAACTCCCAATTATGAAAAGAAAATTGAACATCTTTGGACAGAATTACCTGTTTACAAACCAAACCAAACCAAAGCATATGCAGAAACTCGTACAGAATGAAAAATAACCACAAAATGCAAATTGATGCAACCCATCAGGGACTAGCAAGATTAAAACTTCTAAAACATCTTTAAAATTTTCTACCTAGCGCAATAATCACAATCTCAAGGAAAACGTCGTAATATAACTCTAAAGCATTTCAGTAACATGTATATGGCCATGAATACCTCACAGGGTAGCAGCCACGTACACATCTCAACAATGAGAAGACAACTCAAACAAAATTCCGCACATTTCAGGATTAGAGGATATACTCTTCCCGGCTTGCCTCCTTCCTCGCCCAAACAGAATTACCGCCTTGCAGTTCAATATTATGTGCACAGTCTGTTTGATCATCTGGATCAGGCTCCTGAGGATAACACGGGACCACAAAAGTTGTCATATACTGATTGACTGAAATTGCTGTTATTAGAACCATAAAATCCTTTACTTCAGGTGTGCAGGGTAAATTAAAATTAACTAATTTTAATCCAAGGATTGAGATTGTGACCGAGATCAAGCAATGGATTACATTTCAACATAAAGACAAGAAACAGGCAGCATTTGTATTGCTGTTCCTGAAAAATACCTGCAGGCTTATTTTTCCACATCCATTCTTGAGAAGACTGGAACCCCTACAAAAGAAAAGAAAAAAGAACAAAATTATGACAAATGAAATAGAGAAGCACTTAAAAAAAATAATTGAGTATATAAATTTGTTAACTCCAACCTGCTGATAACGGGTTGGGTCATTCACAGAACCAATGGCTACAGATGGCTGTGGGTAGCCAAGTTCCTGATATTCCAAATAGTCCAGAAAAGAATAAAATAAAAAATCTCAACTGCACATATACACTGAAACATGGAATGAGCATAACATATTTGTTGTTCTCGGCATGCATACCACCAGTATAATGGGGGCTTTTTAATACGGCACATCTATTTTTCATATCATTGATCTAAAGTTGACGAAATCGTAAAATAAAAAATTTATGTATCCAAACCCAAATTTAACGGGAGAGCTAGTTTGTTGCGGATCTAAGTTGAGGAAATTAGTCTAGAATTTAGAAAAAATATTATGGGAAACCAAGAGATGCCATGTATGCTTGTGATTATCGAGGGAGGGAGGGAGGGAGGGAGGGGGGGAGGGAGAGAG